GGACAATTGGGGTGGTATGGCCGGCCGGGTGGCGATTTTGATGGAAAACAGTGACGGCGAAGTGGTGTTGGCCGGTTATTTTGCCTCGCAGATGCCTCGCAAAGGGAGTGACTCGTCCCTTGGCTTGCGCGGCATTTCTCCTTCCCCACCGTTGCGCAGCGCAACTTTCCTCTAAAGGCAGGGCGAGGCGTTTTTTCCACTCGCCGCTGCCAATGCTCTTATGATCCTGTTCTTGTCATTTTTTATTTTTTAAAAAAATTCTTTTGTTGTTCTAAACTGAGTATATAAAAATATATTTAAATATTGTGACCCTCTTATTTTAAAGATAGGTCATGACAAAATTTATTTAACGGGAATCAAATAATGTTACTGAGTACAACATGGTGTTAAAATTCGTGTGTTTTATAGTGTCGATGTTTTTTACATAGACAATAAGATATATTTCGTAGTAGATTATACTTTAATATGATTTCATTTTTTGCTTTTGTTTAGATAGATTTCTGTCAATGAACCAACTCAACCAAAAGCTCAAGCTTATGGTTGAGTTGGTTCATTGACATGGTATCAGAGCCTTGATGACCAAGAGGTCACAAGTTCGAAACTCAGCGCCACCCAGATTTTAAAAAAAATTAAGGTTTCACGTGCAAGGCTCAAAGAGGTCACGCCTGCACATGAGGGGGCGTGTTAGAATATAAATAATTATTCCTGGGCCACAACCTTAAGCTTGAGCTTTTGGTTGAGTTGGTTCCTTGACATGGTATCAGAGCCTCGTTGACTAAGAGGTTACGGGTTCGAAACTCAGCGCCACCCAGTTTAAAAAAAAATTAAGGTTTCATGTGCAAGACTCGAACAAGACTACACATGCACGTGAGGGGGCGTGTTAGAATATAAATAACTATTCTTGGGCCACAACCATAAGCTTGAGCTTTTGGTTGAATTGGTTCCTTGACAATTTCTTATAGTTATTTTGAGATGAACCGAAAAAATAATGTGGGAATCTTTAAAAATAAGAAAAAGAAAAATGAATTACTAAGTGTTCTCGAATTTGTCCATTTTTTCTAATTCACTCATGAGTCATTTGTCCAAAAATTACTTCGCCAGCAAGACAACAAATTAGTCCTTATTATACGGAATTTTGTATTAAGAACATCTGTATCTAATTATTTTTTAAAATATATTTGTTAGAATATAAATAACTGTTCCTGGGCCACAACCTCAATCTTGAGCATTTGGTTGAGTTGGTTCCTTGATATGGTATCGGAGCCTCGTTGACTAAGAGGTCACGGGTTTGAAACTCAGCGCCACCCAGTTTAAAAAAAATTAAGTTTTCATGTGCAAGGCTCGAAAAAGACTACGCCTGCACGTGAGGGGGCATGTTAGAATATAAATAACTGTTCCTGGGCCAATACCTCAAGCTTAAGCTTTTGGTTGAGTTGGTTCCTTGATAATATTCCAGAGTATCTTATAATTTTCAAAAATTTACATCAAATAGAAATTATTACTTATTATTCTATTTATTACGAGTATTATTTAGAGTACGCTTTTTTGATACTTTAAATTACATCAGAATATATTTTTAAAAATAGAAACACCAAGAAGTTCTTATTACAAAATTGTAACAAGAAATTTCTTCAAAATAAGTTTTCACATATTGTAAGGTATCATATTGTCTATATGGGATATGGCATACTCCAATAGTTACTTTTTGTTACAAGCATTCTCCATTTGAAAGTAGGGACTTAGATTTTTACTAGTTTATTTTACAAACATATTAATTGAATAAAATATCAATAAAAAATCTATATTAAATTGGAAATTTTTATTTTCAAAACATACTAATTAATTGAATTAAAAGTTATTGCCGCCCACATGCCTAATTGCATATCTAATTCTGTTGCAAAAATATATCGATTGCTGTTTTTTTCTTTTTAATCTTTAAGCTCTCTCTGTTTTTCTTTTTTTTTTCTTTTTTTAAGAATAGAAATTCCTTGTCTTATTCTCACGGAAACGAAAAACTAAAAGTACAAAAAGTCCAACCCATATTCTACGCCTTGCTTTTGGTTAAAACCAAATTTTATGGTGGACCTAAGTTACATATGAGCACAATAAACATGTTTTTAGTGTTTAAATAAATGTCTTTTTTAATAAAAAATAAAAAAAAGTATATACAAAATGATCCACAAAAATAATATACACCCAAAGGGCACCATAGAAGAACTCATGGTTGGCATATTAAACTTAAAATGTGCAAGATAAAAAGTCTTTATTTCATTTCTTTGGACGTACGATGTTTTCAATGATAAACTCCAAACTATTCATTGTTGTTTTGATATTTTTGGTCACACTATGACCATTAATAAAAATACTTTGAAATAAATAGATATAAAAATTTGATACATAGTATATCAAAACTACAATTTTATATGAATTTAATTATATTAAATTTACATGATACCTTAATGTATATTATTACAATTCATAAACAAGCTTCTAACATTTTAACAAAAACTACATTATGAAGATTTTTTTGGGATAAAAGAGTTGAAGTAATTTTTAATAATTAAGGATTAAATATATTTTGAAACACTGCACACATTTTATGTCCACAATCAATAACAGATAGTCAGATATACAAAATGACAAACTTAAGGCTGATAGATCTAAACTTTTTAAGACTGGTCTCATCTGATCTGAATAAATTTGATCTAATCAAAATTGATCTAATCTGAATGGATTTTTATTTCAAGTTCAAATAGATAGAGTAATAATAATAAAAATTTAATTATTATTAATAATCATTATTCATAATATTTACAATAATAATTTTATTATTAGTAATTATATTTTTAATTACTAATTAATATTATTAGTATTTTTTGTTATCATTTTTATTTTAGTAATTGTAATAATTGTTATAATAACTTACTATTATGCTTATTATGATTACTAGTATTATAATGTGTTATCATTATTAATGATTATTTTCATTATTAATTATAATTAAAATAATAACTATTGTTAAATTTTATTCTTAGCATTATTAAAAATAATTATTTGTATTATTATATTTACAAATAAATATTATTATTAATTTTTATTATCATTATTAATTATTATTCATTAAAACAATAATGATTATTATCATTTTAATCATTATTATTGTTATTATAATTATTATTAATTACTAGGAAGTTGTACTTTTATTATTGAGTATGATGATAATAAATTATTATTATTATTAATTATTATTAATTATTTTAAAATTATTAATAATGTGATAATATTAATTATTATTGTTATTAGTTGATAATGATTATTATTATTATTTAAATTATTATTGTGATTAATTACTATTTCAATTATTCTTAAGTACCGTGATAATTAAATCTCGCAAAAAAGATTCCGATTTGTTTTTGACCCAAAACCCGACTCAAAAATACTGGATTTTAAAGAAAAGTTTTGATAACCAAACTCGAAGTTGACGGGACCCGAAATGACCTACGAAAAATGGGTCAATCCCGACCGTATCGGATCTGACCAACCCGCTAATGTAAGAGTGTTCAAAAATCATATACTTTGCTACTCTTTTTTAGTGTATAAAATTTTATTTTTGGATAAAATTTTAATGATATTGCATAAATATCTTACTTTTTTCTAAAACTAGATTTCGTACTCGTGCGTTGCACGTCCATTTTATTATTATATATAGTGAATTAAATTTTTTGTAATTAGTTTATTTTAATTTCTAAATTCAGGTTCCAAAAAATACATGATTACTAATTTTAATTCATTATGAACGTTTAAAAATTAAATGTGTTATGGATGATTTTCCACGAAAAAGTATCCCAAAAAATCATCTAAATATTATAAGTTTGAAAAACTTTTTGTGTGAAGTATGTAGCATATTTGTAGCATAATAAGAGTTTAATATCTCTTTCAACAATTAATCATTCTCTGCCACTTACATATTTATGCTTAATCACCTTTATAAAAAGTTAATGAGTTAAGTGCACCGTTTACCCCTGAATTCTTTGAAAATTGCATGGTTTATCCCCGAACATTAAAAAGTGCACCAAATACTCCTGAATTCTTCAGAAATTGCACGGTTTACCCCTGAACAATAAAAATTGCACCAAATACCCTTGAACTCTTCGAAAATTGTAAGGTTTACTCCTGAACATTTAAATAAAGATGACAATTTTGGGTAAAGATATTTTGAAAAATTCACAAGGGTCAGATGAATGATATTCACAATTCTTGTGCGTGGAAGCAACACCCTCTCTATCTAATAGTTTATGACCAACGATGCAACATTTTAATTTGTTCAAGGGTATTTGGTGCATTTTTAGTCTGCAGGGGTAAATCGTGCAATTTTCGGAGAGTTCAAGGGTAATCGATGCACTTTTTAAAGTTCAGGGGTAAAACATGCAATTTCTAAAGAGTACAGGGATAAACTGTGCACTTAACTCAAAAGTTAATTATATATTTAATGACTTAAAAGTAGAGATAAATGAACTTATTTTTATTATAAGACCAATGACAAACCCATAACCAACGATTTTGATTCCGAAATCACTTCAAGAATCGTATTATTCGTATAATTAATAACTAAAAATTTTAATCACTTTTCTACTATTATACTAGAGTCCGGTTTCTATATCAGCATCTTCGGTTTCTAAAAATCGTAATCCAAACGATTTCCAATAATTTTGGCCGATTTTGATTCCAACTTGTTCGGATTCCTCTTTTTTTGAAAGCATATAATATATATATAATTATATAGATTTTACTTCATACAATTTTTTTGCGTCTAAATCTTGTGATTTTGTGAATGAATCTTAAGCCAATTTAAAGTAAATATCATTAGTGCTAAAAGGAATATATTAAAAAATTATTAAACCGATTTTGTTTACCAAAAGTTTGGAAGCGGGTCTTTCGGTCATAGCCCATTTAAAAATGTAGTGGGGTATTGGTTGGTGTATCGTTAAGGGTTTTAATATCAGAGCCCGGAAGGATTGGCAGCCTAACCTTAGCGTAAAGTTGCCGCAAACGTCGATCCATAAAACAAGAGAGAGCGAAGAGATCAGGCTGAGATTTTGCGGAGAGATCAGATCGATCGAGATCGGGAGAATGGATCCGGACGCACTGGCGAAGGCGTTTGTCGAGCACTACTACTCCACCTTCGACTCCAATCGCGCAAATCTGGCCGGTCTCTACCAGGAAGGCTCCATGCTGACATTCGAGGGCCAGAAGATTCTCGGCTCCGCCAACATCGTCAGCAAGCTCACCGGCCTCCCCTTCCAGCAGTGCAAGCACAACGTCACCACCGTCGACTGCCAGCCATCTGTCACTCAAGGCGGCTTCATCGTCTTCGTCAGCGGCAGCCTCCAACTCGCCGGCGAGCAGCACGCCCTCAAGTTCAGCCAGGTATCCGATCCGTCTATCTCCGGTGCCTTGTTTAAGTTGTGTAATTCGAATTTTCGTTGATCGATTTGTTTGTGACGACGTCTTTTGTGTTGATTCTTTTGTTCTTATATTTGAAACTCCGAGATCTATTTCGTCAGGAGAAGCGCTGATCCTTTGATTCGATGCTGCTGATTTCGGATGAGATTTCAGATCTGTTATTGATGATAAAAAAAACGTTCAGATTTCTGTTGGTCTCATTTCTAACTGTCACTTCACTTTTTTTAATGGCACAATTTTTTATCTCTTCCGAATATGAACTCCTGTGGTCATGCGTCCTTTATAACTTGAAACAAATTTGAGATGATTATTTTAATAAATCTATACTGCTAGTGCTGGGAAATGCTTTAGGAATATAAACTACATTCTGATTTATTTCATGGGGTATAAAATCAGAGATCTAATGGCCTGAAGTTATCTATAATTATTTTTTTTAAAGTTTGTGTTTCCTTTGCATATTGTATATCTCATTATGTGTAATGTATGGAGTTTCTGGTATCATGTTTTAGAGTAGAGATATTTCTTTGGTTAATTCTAGGAGGCATAGTTATACTCTGTGGGATTGTTTGGAGTCGCAATACAGATTTTATCTTACTAAAGCTAGGTTAGAAATTTTCATCTACATATATCGCACTCTATAGTATGGTCTGTGCAACATTTCACAACCTTTTTTACCCATACTTTAAGGGCCAGAGTGCTTGTTTCCTAATACATGGCCTCTAAGAAGTACCATCAAAGGTTTAAGTCTGGTCTAAAACCACCATGTCCTACCTAAACTTCTCCTGCGTGGTCCGTCTCTCCCTTGGTCTCTTCTAGAAGAAGTTCTCTAGTCTCTACTATCGTCACGGGTTCACAGTCTTCATAATCTATATTAGGCATTGCCATTAGTTCAGAATAGAATATCATATTCCTTATTTTATCCAACAAGGTGCGACCACGAACCAATTACACAATCCCCATTTATGTAACCTCAAACTTCTGTTCATAGGCCATCTTCATTGCCCAACCAACACTCTGGTTTTGATGTTAGAAGAGAGTTGAAATGATGTCAGTCTGTCTTTGGGGTCGGAACACAATTTTTTAATCGAATTAGTATCAAAGCATAATCTAGAATCCTAGTACTATGGACTCCTTTTTCTGAAGAAGAAAATCCCCTTGTGAAATGGGGAATCTGAGTTACATGTGTTATTGCACTATTGCCTGAATCTTTTTCTTCAAATTTCATGTGGTATTGCATCTTAGCTACAAACTTATCTTCTCAATTCCTTAATTTCCCCAAAGGTTACTTTTGGGGCTTGTTTGGTTTTGGGATTTGCATGTGTTGAAATCAAAATACTTTTTCGCCCTACAAGGGCTGTCTCTATGTCATATTTTGTCATATTTCAGACTTGTGATTTACATGGTCTCTATTCAAACTCATTCTTCCTTTTTTTGTATGTCTTTGCATTGGACTTACAGATGTTTCACTTGATGCCAACACCCAATGGAAGTTTTTACGTGCACAACGACATATTCCGCTTGAACTATGCATGAAGGCTCTGGATACTAGTGTCTATTGGGGTTTGTGTTTCATTGATGATGGAAATGTCAACAAAAACAATTGAAGAAAATTGGCATGCTTCTGGGTGTCAGATGATACTTTGGTTTCGAATGTGTTTTGTTTGTCTTGGTTACTACTAATATTTCAGTTTTGATTCAAATCGACTGATGAATTTGATGATCGCTGTTTAGCCTGTATCTTACTATGGCACAGATAAGAGATTCAGAGGCTGGTTTTTCTATTACTTGTTTTTTCCCTTGTTCTTTCTACTTCATTCTTGATTCTATTCCTTGCATTACATTGGATTGACCAGTTATATTTTTGAGTGAGAGATGAGGTTGTAAAGTGACCTTAACCCGAATTTAACCGTCCAACTCAGTCCAACCAGTCTTTTCTCTGGGCACAATTTCCATATGGAAGTCCAAATTTTCCCACATTTTAATAAGGTGTTTACCGTCGGTAATTAAACTGGAGATGGTTAAAATATGTACTTCTAAATGCAAATGCACTAATATGCGGGAGCAAATGCTTGTTGTGAAGTCTATTACATAAAAAATTCCAATGGATTTATTTTATTGCCAATCAAACTCCTTTGAGTACTTCATTGTCCATACATCCCATGGTTTTCAATGTCAAGTTATTGCTACATACACTCTTTCACCTTGCTTTTGATGGTGGGTTAGAACTTTTGATCAACAAGGTTATGGTATTATGTCAAAAAAAAATATTAATTACCCAAACAAAAGTTCCAAACTTGTCGATGGAAGAATTTTAAATTCCAACATTTTGATAGGCCAAAATCTCTCGAAAACACATTTATTTCCACTTCCAAAACCCATTAGTCAGATATCTTTAGATATAAGATGATCAATTATTCAATTAGTTCTAGATTTCGGTTAGCCAAAAAAATAATACTACTCTTAATTAGTAGCTCATCTTTGATTTTTTCTACATATAGTACGAGCAGATTCTAAGTAAAATTGGTGAGGGGCTATTAGTTATTTAGTTGGATGAAATGATGGATGAGATTCTATAATCTGTTTCTCTTTATTGTACAATAATATTAAAAATTTTAGTACGCAAGCTAAAAACGCACAAAGGACCATCCAATTTACATCAGGATGAGGTGAACTCGTGAATAAGCTTCATCTCCAATCCGTGCTTTATTCTAAAGATCAACTTCCTCTTTAATGAGCAAGTTTGCTTGTTTTATACACCCTCAAAATATTCATTTTTGTTTAACTTTTTGGAGTTTGACTAACATGTTATATATTTTCATTAACCTACATCTATTTAATTAAAAAACTTGTAGCATTGGAGTGCTCCCAATATATATACCGCGCGAATGGTTTCCAATATCAAGATCGAGCATTTCCTTCAACAAGCATTGCGATGATAATCATTCAAACATTACAACAATGTAAATATATATAGATTTAACTTATGTATATATACTCCCTCTGTCCCATAATTTTCTTCATGTTTGCTTTTTCATGGGTTCCAATTCAATATTTTGACTATTAACATCTCAATCTATACACATATATAATTTTATACTATAAAAATATGATATTTTAAAAATTTAATTTCAAAATGAATCTATTGCTATTAAATTTATATCATAACTGAGTATATTTTTCTCATATTTTACGGTCAAAATTAGAAATTTTTTATAACAAAAAAACAAGCAGAAAGATAATTGTGAGACTGAGTATATTTGTAACTATAAGACTATGTACCATACATAATATAAATGATTACTAATAATGATAATAGGAATTTACTTAAATAGCATTAAAATATAATAATTTTTCCTAAATAGCACAGCATGTGTTTTTCTTCCCAACGTAGCACTTTCAAGCAAATATTCGCCATCACTGGACATTATTGAGTAATATTTAGGGAATAAAACAGTTTAAGTGCTATTTCTAATGATGAATACTCCAAAGTGTATATAGACTGAATTGTGGAATGGATTCAAATACATATAAAAATAATATAAAATCAAACATTGTAGCGGATGTGGATGCCAACGCCAACGGTGAGGAGGGTGTAGATACAGAAGTACAAGATGGCATGAACCAAGATGGAGATGCCACTGGTGTACATGTTCCCGAACTCCACGCACCTCGTCCTCGCCGGCAACTGGAACAGTAATCCCGGCGACAGCAGTATGAACATCGCCACCGCCACCACCACCGGCCCCCAGTCCACATTCATCCGCTCGCTCCTCCTACGAAGAGATCAGATCGAGTATATAACTAACAATAAATAACTAATATAACTAACTAACCTCTATCTGATAGATCCACCTACCTTTTAATTTCTTTCTCCTCAATAAGTTTCTTGCGCCCCAAAGGGTAATAATATACTACTCAGTACGAACGAACGACGACTACAATAATTACGTACGTACTTAACGTAACAAAGTGATCGAATTTGTTGTCTCTCGGTTGATAAACAAAACAAAACCCCCCCAAAAAAAATTGTTTCGAAGCAATTAAGTAGATATGTTATTCATGTTACGTACGTCGTATGCTATATATATATATATATATATATATATATACACACACACACACACACACACTACTTCCTCTGTCCCTAAATAAACTTCCATTTTTGACTTTTTGAGAATTTAAGGGAGAAATATTTTTGTGTTGACTTTCCAAAAATACCCTTGATGTGATGTGTAAAAGTAAGATGTGATAGGTAGATTATTGGTAAAAGGGTCATGCTACACTTACACCAAAAACTGTACTCCATTTGTACACCGCAGTTATACACAAACATTTTAATAGTTTACACCGACAGAAGTGTTGGTGCTTTAATAAAAATTTACACGGACACAAAATGTTGGTGCGTTAACAAAAATTAGTTTTATACCAACACAAAATGTCGGTGCAAACCCGCGGTGTACAAAATGGGGTACAAAAGTTTGGGGTACAAATAGTTTTATCCTTAGTAAAAAGGTATGATGTGATAGATAGGGTATGAAAAAGTAAGGGGTAAAAGGGGTTTTTTAAGGGAAAAGAGAAGTTTATTTGGGGACAAAGAAAAAACGAAAAAGAAAGTTTATTTAGGGACGGAGGTACTAGATACCAATCCAAGGTGCAGGCTGTAGGAGATAAATAAATGGTTATGGAGAATCTCAAATACTACGTCAGGGGTACTATGGTCATTTCACGATCACTGTTAACGATAATTAAGAAAAACTTGAATCAAATTTCCGTATTATTAATCTTTTACGTACTAGATGTCAACCTTACATGATTTTACATTGAACACAAAAATAATACTCTCTTTGTTCAAAATAACTACAGCTAATAAATATCATAAAACACAACAAAAAAATTATTTTGGAGAGAATGGTGTGTATTCACAAGACTTTTTGGTTCGCGATCGTCACAAGGCAATTATGTTTTTAAACTTTGAATAAATCCATTTTAAATAAATTTTAGCTACACCATTTGTAACTTTTATAACCCTTCAAGAAAAAAACTTTTACTACGTAAAAAATATGCTTAAAATTAAATGAAGCGATAAGCAAAAGAGGGTGCATGTGAGAGAAATAATTTTAAAAATCACCTTGGTGTTTTACCTTCGAAAAAAGCGACTCGACAATGACTCCAACACCTACGGTACTTCAATGATAAAATTGATAATTCTACCTTTTTTCTATAGAAATTTACTTAAATATGACTAATACATAATGACGTTCTCAATATATGACCATATGTTATTATTTCTTAATGTAAGAATTTTGTTCATTATCAATTAGTGATTATTCAACTAAATGTCCATCATTACTGAACATTATTTCTCTCACTAGACATTATCAAGTCCTATTTGGAGAATAAAACCGTTTTAAGTCCTACATTGAGAAATGACTTGTGTTTTAGTCATATTTAGTACAAAATTTCACTTTTTTTCTGAACTCCTCACCCGGACCCATCCTCTTGTCCCTTTTTCCCCAGGGGTGGATAGGAATTGAGGCTGAGCTGGGGTTTAGAAGGGAATTAAGAGGTAGAGACCATCAATTTTACCAAGAGCGTATTTTATGCACCCCAAAATCTAAGCATTTTTGGCTTATTAATTTTTTTTCTAATGTCAAAAAAATATTGCGGTTAAAAAAAGGGTGCATATGTAATACACAGAGTACTAATTAGCTAGTGGCTTAGGGGAGAAGATCGAAGATGGGGTGGAGGAATAAAGAATGGCGTGTTTGATGAGTTACGAGTGGATTTTGCTTTTTTACGTACTTATCTTTGGAAATGTGACGACGACGGAGATCAGATTTATTTATTTGTTCATTTATATTTGAAGAAAAGAATATAATTTTGGAAAATGCTAGAGTGCCACCACATGGTGCTACCATGGGTGCACCCATGCTTTGCACAGACAAACACAGACGATAATTGTCTGTGCGACACAGACAATTATCGTATGTGTTTGTCTGCGCGAAGCATGGGTGCACCCATAGTAGCACTCATGTGGTGGTACCCTAGCATGGTCCTATAATTTTATATAGTATGTAGATGCTTTTGCAAGCTAGCTAGTGAAACCATGCTTTTATGCTGCATGCTATATATACCGAGTATCTTTTTTATTTTATTATTTTTTTGTTTCGTTAGTACACAACTTAATTGTACGTACGCTTATTTTATTGGATTATTAATTCGTTTTGTATTTGTTTAATTCGTTAATTATCTCACATATATATATATATATATTTTAAAGTTACAACATAGCTAAACATATGAGTAGATGTTTTTGAAAAAATATAATATCCAAATTACTTGTTTGGAAACTCAAATAATTTGAATTTGGATACAAACCAAATTCTTTTAATTTAAAAATAGAAATATTTGCACTAAATAGCACCAAAACTTAAATCATTTCCCAAAATAGCACTTAAACTGTTTTATTCCCTAAATAGCTGTTAATAATGTCCATAATGTCCAGTGATAACGAATATTTATTTGAATAATGACTAATGCATAATGACTAAAAGTGCTACATTGAGAAGAAAAACACATATGATACTATTTAGGGAAAGTCATTATGTTTTAGTGTTATTTAAGTAAATTCCCCATTAAAATTAAGCTTACTACAAATCTACCTCTCTTCATCATGTAATTTACAAATTTAAGCTCAACTTCTTTTTAATTTATAACTTGTAATGAAAGAGTGATATCTCTTTATTCAACAACAATCTCATTATTCTCATACATATCATTATTCGGCTTCTGTTACCGTCTTTGTCGACATCGAAATTTAAATTCTAGAAATAAAATTTTATGAGTTCCCAAAGAACATTTGGAATTTGAGATTATGAGATTTCAAATATTAAAATTGAAATCTAAGTTTTCAAATGATTTCTAGTTCTCAAACATTACCTAAAGTTATTTTTATTATCATTCATACGCTACGCTCTAAATTAAATTAAAAAATTGAAAACATTGTGAAGTACTACCTCCATCATAGAATATTTGTCCAGTTTGACTTTTTCGAGTCAAACTGGATAAACTTTAAACTTTAATTACTCTCAATTTGTATTAAATATTACTCCAATAAATCCAATAAAGTCATTTTTATATTAAAATACTTTACGGTTTTTATTTAATTGAAGCTCAAAGTTTGTCCAATTTGACTCGAAAAAAGTTAGATTAGACAAATACTCTGGGACGGAGGGAGTATTCGATAAAGGGACAAGAAATGAGACAAATTAGAAGTTGGAGGACATCACCCTTTTTTTTAGTACGACAATTTTGTGTACCAAAAAAGAAATGAGATTAGGATGCATGGATGATTATAATGCCCTTCATAGTAATGTGCATGCAAGGTAATATATTCCTTGTGCCCAATAAAGTTTTCACATATGACTTTAGTAATTTTATTTTCAATTCAATTCATTTAGAGTGGGTTTCGAGTAAAAGTTTTTCGCGAACGGACGAGATGTAGGCCTCGGCTTGTGCATCAATACACGGTGGAGAGACCACATCGTCGCCGCCGCTACCACCACCGGCAGACCACTCCGACCTAACCGCATTCTCTAATCCATCCTCGGATTCATTTTGCAACCTCAGCTTTTCCCGCACCCTTGCGATGTATTCCGTGGCTTTGAGATCGATGTACTCGTCGTTGTCGTTGTCTTCGTGATCAACCCGGCCGCCACCGACCCCGCCACGGGGAGCTCCGCTGTTTGACCGGCGGTCAACAGTGGTGACGACATTGGTGGCTCCGTTGTTGACTTGATCGTCGTCATACCTGAACGTCAAGTGGGCCGAGGGCGTCGCGGCGGCGCGGGTTTCATAAGTGGCGGCGGAGGTGGTGGTTGTGGTGAGGGTATAATATTTGCGGAACCTTTTTTTTCTGCTCTGGCTCGACCCCATTTTACGGCGTTTGGTTATATCTAAAGCTAGTTCAATTCATTGGGTTTTTATACTGCATATATTTGGATTAATTAATTCTATACTTTAGATTTTTTAGTAATGTTTTTAAATTTCACCATAATATACTTAAAAAAATCGTTGCTGAGTATATACGTCTAATTTTGTCCTTTTGGAGGCGACCACTTTCAACATTTTTTCTATAATTAAATAAAAATTATGTGGTACTTTTTTAAAACATTATATGGTACGGAGTATATTAATTAGATAAAATTATAATTTGATTATATTTTATAGAATAAATGCAATAAATTTATTCTTATATCAATATCTAATATCCATTTTATTTAATTAGTAATTAATGTTTATTTGGAGACAAAAGGGATTAATTGGGACGGAAAACTGCGTACGTAGTTTCTTTTGGAGTTGTAGGTAGGGGTGTTTTATTAATAATTATGATAGGGATTAGGGAGAACCGAATAACTTGTGAGTTACGTTATCCGGAAGACCCGTCTTTAGTTATTGACTAATAATCGGATCGGTCAATGGAAGCTTCTCCATAAATAGAATTATTTTGGTTTTTGATAATTTTTATTTATATCTATATTATCATTAATTATTTGATAGAATAAAATATTTTGTTACATCTTTTTTCATAGATTTTTTTGATGTACTTTTTAAATATAAATTTTTTTTAGTTTTTTTCCAATTTGTAAATATAATTATTTTAAAAGTCATGGACGCTAATCAAAGGATTGAAGGTAATTTTTTACGGACGGAGGAAGTATTAGGCTTTCCGTCTTAATCTTAAATGCTTAGCTTCCTTTGGTCTAAGATGTTTAGCTGAATTTGTTTCCAAATCATTTTATATTTAAAATGGTGTAAAATTTATAAATAAAATTATATATTTAAAAAGTACAGAGTATATAAAAAGATCTATAAAATTAGCTTAGTGGTGACATGACGTATTATATTAATTTACCAAATAGATAACGAAAAAAGAAAACAAGTGAATGAACTTTGATATTGTGAATAGTTATGTGACAACTAACTTTGGGACTAGGAGAGAACAATCTAGCATAAACGAGTTTTTTGTTTCATTTAATTCTAAATTAAACTTTCTACAAAACCGTGAATTCTTCTTAAACCTAAAAATTGTACGAATGATCTCTAAAGAATTAAAAATGTTGTATCACTAGTCTATGCTAGATTTATTTTCAAAGTGTGTTAATCGCAAGGTCGTCCAGTGCAAGTATATATATTTATCTAAAGTCATGTATCATAACATTCACACGCGAGTTCTGTAACACACCACTACAAGAAATTGTCAAAATTGCAACGAAAATCTGCTACGGACCAAGCGTTGTCGCAGATCTGCGAGAAATCTGCGATGGGTGTCGGAAAATTTGGTAACGTCGACAATATCTGCGACGGAAACCAATAACCGTCGCTAATTAGCGACGGACCGGTCTTACCCGTCGCAGAATTTTAGCGCAAAATTAAACATTTATGCCGGTATGAGTTAAAATAGGTCCTTCTTCCCTTACGGGACAACAACACAAACACAACCCAACCCTAACCTCCTGACGCTGGAACCCACGCCTCCCTTCGTCGCCGAAGCTCCCGCGCCCCATCTCCGCCTCCTCCACCGCCGCACGTAGCCGGCTTCCTCCTCCCAAGGTCCGCCTCCACATCTCCGATCCGCCCTCGTCCGCCAGCGCCCTCGTCGTCCAGCCCTCTTCCGCCACCACCGGCCTCCGCCAGCCGCGTCCTCTGTCAGCTTCTACTCGCTGGCTTCCTCCTCCGCCAGACGCCGTCGTCCTCCTCCTCCTCCTCCTCCAGCCGGTGTCCTCCTCCTCCGCCAGCACACTCCTCTGCCAGCACACTTAAAGGTTTTTTTCACTTTTTTTGTTGATGAAATTGATAGGATTTTAGGTTAAATTGAATTAAAATTATACGGAGTATGAATTTACTTAAATAATGGTTGAATTAGAATACCGGATTGTTACAATATTGCCATCCAAACACAAATATTTTCAAAATATTTTAAAATACTTAATTCAAAAACAATCTTCAAATATTCATCGAAGTAATAATATAAACGGTGTGAAAGCTTAAGTACATAATTCAAAATACAACTTTGGATTCTTGTCCAAAAATATAATAGATTCAAACTGAAATACTCCATTCGTCCCATAAAACCTTTCTCCTTTCTTTTTTCATCCGTCCCATAAAACACTTCTCATTTCTATTAAAAAGTCACTTTTACCCCTTACTTTTTCATACCCTACCTATCACATCATACCTTTTTACTAATAATCTACCCATCAAATCCTACTTTTACCCATCACATCAAAGGACATTTTTGGAAATTCAATACCAAAATACACTCCCTTAAATCTCTTCAAAAAGCAAAACATCCCATATTTCATGGGACGGAGGGAGTATTAATTAGTCTAACTCCATAGTCTTGTATCAAGACGTCCTCTTATCCTCGATGCCTTCAAGGGTTGAATTGCCTCCTTATTCATCAACTTTGTTACCTACCTACGTGCAAGTAAAACAAACTACACCTCTAAAAATTTGACAAATAAAAAAACTAATCAGCGGACAAGAATATCAAGCTGGCTGACGGTGGTGATGAACGGTGGAGCAGTAGCATCGGTTGGAAATATCGAGTTGAATATATAAGTTTAACTTTATAAGCTTATAAGAACAAAAAAATACATCATCAGCTAACTTTTAAATTAAAAATAGCTTATAAGTAGTTTTGACTAACTTAAAGATAAAGAATAATCCTTTTGTGCGCACACTAGTTATCTTTTTACCCGAAGATTCGATGTTCAATCTAAAAGATCAAAGATCATATGGGTAGTATGGTAGCATGACAAAGCACACCCAAGTCCGAATAATTATCAACACAATTATTATATTTCCTCCGTTCTAAAACATTCTTAAAGTTTCTAGTTACGTAGTTTGATCAATTTTGATTTCAATTTAATTTAATTTAATTAATTGATTGTAGATATAATAAAATTAAAAAATAAAATTTATATACTTAAAAACTAATTCAAAAGTTTTATAATTTAAAATAAATGATAAGAAATTGGCAAATGATATTCATCACAAGAGCATATATTTTCTTTTTCTTTTTTTTATCATGTGACCTGGCTTAATGGCATACATGTTTTTTAGAAACTTAATTAGAAATGGTGGCTTCTTTCTTTGATGATCATCATGAAAGAATAACCAAAGTAAAACCATTTCTAATTAATTTCTTAATATTTAACTTGCTGTTAGTCACATGCATGATTATAAATACATTTATTTCATTGTTTATTATGGAGTATTAATTAGTAGGAAAATGTTAATGCTTAAGAAACCAAAAAAAAACATTTTTTTTTGTTTCTTAAGAAAACCATTACCATTTTCTTTATTTATTAATAATGTTACCCACAAGTACGGAGTAATAATAAACCCAATATCTTTCATTCCATCAGTCGTTTTTATTTTTAAGCTTGTTCCGGAAAGAGGCAATGTAAGCCTCGGCTTTATGATCGATAGAAGGATCGCCACCGGATTCGTCGGAAAAATAAACAGCCGCGGTCGCCGCCGTGGCCGTGGCGGCGATGCGCCGCTCGCTGACAGCAGGTAGATCGACGCGACGGTCCTGCTGGCTCATCACCGCCGTCTTTCCTACAAACTTGGAGGAGGCGTCCGGGGCAGCCTTATCCTTACGATCGCGGCGGGGTCCGGCTTGTGCTTCTGCTGCTGCACGGCGGCGGCGGCGGCGGCCGAATAGTCTTCTTCGCCGTGGGAGATTGGCTTCTCCCAGCCGTCCCTGCGCTGCTTCCCGCCTTGCGGGTTCGCATTCTTTTTCCTAATGAAATTCATGTTACGTTTTTCTAATGAAGAGTTAATTACGTATAATTAATGAAGAGTTAAAGATTAATCCCGGTATATATAAAGATTAAATTGTGTTGTGTCAAAGAATTTACCCCATGCGAATATGTTCTTCCGGTAAAAGAATTTACCCCTGTTTTTTTACTTTTCTTTGACAAAAAAAGGTACTACTCCGGTCTCATTTAAATTTTGTCCAGTTTGACTCAAATAATCAAATTAGACAAATACATTAGAACGGAGGAGTATTGTAAGTGAAAAATACCCCGTAGTTAAATGTTTTAGAACAAAAGAGTGAATATAGCATCTTGTGCAGAGGAGCTTAGAAATTGTTCTGTTCTCTTCATTTTTTTTATTCTTATTGAAATCAGATCAGAAGTAAAAAAAAGCTTTAAATATAATTTTTATCAGATTAAATTAAAACTTAACCGAATTAGATCAGAGCCAATAAGATGAATTGAAGAGAACTTAAATAACAAGAAGAGATGGAATATATGCAGTAGGAGTAATTTTACGGAGTACGTACGGAGTAATATAATTATCAGGCCTTAGGGGATATTTATAGGGTAAAGTACTAATACTAGAGAAGCATTATAAAGAATTCAATGCTATAGTGGCAAGGAATTGTATGCTTTGCCTCATATGCCAATTTTAGCACAATTAGACGTACGATATTAATAAAAAAAAGAATCCCATATATATGGCTTCTCGTGTACACGAGATGAAATTTGGTGAAATTTAAAGATATAATAAGAAATGAGTTATGAAATCAATGAGAAATGATATTAGTTTTGAAATCTAAATCAAACTTGTTTGGGGAGATTTAAAATCATGATTTAATTAGTGATAAGCAGGATGACTGACAATATAGGTGGTTGGCGGTGACAATGGTAGCTAGAGGCGGGAAATGATCAATGTTTAAGAGAGATATCAAACTCCCAAATTTGGAAAATATTGAAACTCTCCATCTTGAAGATTTATGATATCAAGAGATATTGAATTTGATATATTTATTGGCTTCACCAAATACTAGAAATGGATTTTGATATCCGGATACATCAAAACTCATATTCTCTTTCTCACCAAATATACCCTTAATTTAACAACTACGAGAAATGAAATTGGAACATGATCTTTCCCTTTAGTACGTGCAATGACTAGTTGCTATCCTTCATCTATATTGTCAAAATTTCTTACTCCAAAGTCAAATAAACTTGCAGCCCAT